TCTACCCTACAAGTACAGTGGGACTGTAGCTGTGGGGCCCACATCAGTGTTCTCTACAATAATATAATATTTTATATTTATTTCTTGTATTTTTATTATAAAATTATATATATATATATATATATATTATAAATATAAAAAAACCGATGAACCGAACTGGTGGTCAACTGAATTGATCAACTGGTTAACCAATTGACTTTGGTTCGGTTTTAGTTACCACTATTCCAAAATTGGTAGTATCGGTTTGGTTTAACTGAACCGTGAGCACCCCTACACATGGATTTACTTGATGCACTCTCCTAATGAGGTTCCAAAACTTGTTAAGACAACTCCATGAATTTATTCCTACCCAGTTTGATACTTGTATCAAAATATGCTTCAGCTGCACTGTCCTAGATCCCTTTTGTTGTTTTCATTAACAAAAAAATCAGACTAATATGTGGTTGCATGGAGTTTAGTAGCCAAGACATCATCATCATGTCTTCTTGCACCCAYTTTGCATGTTTAGCATCTTGTGAGTCTGGCTCCTCAGAGTCTATAATATAACCAAGTTTCCCATGTCCACCAATATATTTCTTCATAGCCTATACCCATTGAAAATAACTACTCCCATTAAACCAGTGATTTCTGGTGTACCAACGGAGCCACTTGCTTCATTGATTTCAAGCAATATTATTTTTAATGGATCAACAAATAAAGATGCCCAAAAAAGAAAACAACCACAAAAGATTTCTTGTGCCATAGCTAGAAAACAATAGGTTCCAGGAACCTCAGTTACACTTCCAAAGGTTATCAACCTCAATACTTGGACTAAATAAGTCCAATGAAACCAAAAATCCCAAACAACCAAGGTTTTTGGTCTTCCCAATACAAATTGGACATTCCCATGTTCAGGAGAAAAGGGAGTTCACTATGTCGATCTCTCCAGATGTTCTTAAATGAGTTTCAACAGCATTTGATCTCCAAAAGAATCTTAAAGAAACCCAAAATACATTGAACGCTACTATCAATGTGGGTAGCCAGTCCTATCTAAAGTAATTCACCTCTTTCTCCCAACAAACCACTCCAAAAATCCTGAAAAAACAGGCCACAATTTAGAAACCCTATCTCTTCAACTATCTCATGTAGCTGACTGGAGTAAGACTGCACAAGACGAGTAGATTGGTAGAAATTTTTCTCTGATACCAAGTTGTTAATCAGCCCCGCAGATTCAGACTACCAAAAAAAAATAAAAGATTAACCTGTGCAGGAGATTAAGTTTCTGCTGAGAACCAGGAGATAGAAGAGAGGAGAGAGAGGAGAGAAGTGGGGAAGACAGATTGTGGGGCTAAATGTGAGGCTCCATGACAGAACCAAGCCTACTGAGGTGGATGGGCACTTTTTTTTTTTTTTGAGAAGAAAAGTGGCTTCGAAGAAGATATGCCCAGCATTTGTGAAATTGGTGATTAATTTGCAAAAATTTTGACAAATGTTGTGAATAAAACTTAGTTGGCGACTATACTAACAAACTGGGCATGGTTGACATCTATTAACGTACATAGTTGTGTGAGGAGCGGGCCTCACAACCAGTTTTTCTCAAACTCTTACCTTCTCTCTACTTAACTGTTTCTTCTTGTCTTGAACCCTAGAACAGTTTGTAACTGAAACATAAGAGCATAAAACAAACAAATGTCTATTTCTTTGTGAAGTCTTACTTTCTCTCTACATGTTTGTTTCACCAATGTTATTATTATTGTTATTATTGTTACTATTGTTGTTGTTTCTTTTCTAAAAGGATCAAAATGCTATAGCAAAGGTTGGAAACAAAGAAACAAAGGAATTTATCTTCTGAATAATAATTCTGTTAAAGTTTGGCCTGCCCTAGAAGCCTGTCTTGTTTGTTAGCTGAAAGGTAAAGTAAACAGCAAGAAGGAAGAGGTGAAAGAAGAAGGAAGAAAGAGGAAGGAGAAGAGAAAAGGTCTGGTTCGAAAATAGGAAAAAGTCAACCCTAGTTTCGGCCAGACCTGTTATTATATTATTAATGTAATTGGAAAAGACATAAGTGCCCTTATTTAAGTAAGAGGCACTCGAACTAACATAATAGTACACATCAGCAYTCTCAACAGGTACAAAGACCGAAATACCCCTTCACTAACAAATTCAAAACAAATTAAATTGTTTTATGTTGCTTGTTAATTTATGGGCACCTAACTTAATTCTGTTGAAGCTACTTTTAGAGTCCAAGTCCAATGCTTGTTAGGTATTATTAACTGAAAATTATTTGAATTCATGGCAACTAAGTTATTTTTGTGCAGGAGTTAGATATTGAAGGTGAATATCCTGAAAGCCAAACTTTCTTTGAGGGTGTATTTTATAATTATTTTAGCATAGGTAAAGCTTTTTTCATACTTCATAACTATTCTGGTTGTTTCATTTGTATCTTGTCTTAAATAAACACATTGAAAACCTGTTTAAGTATTTTTCTGATTATTWTTTAACTTGGTATGCACCTTCATATGGCTTTTTAAATACAAAGAAGTGCATTAATGGGCTTATCTTGGCATTTGTTATTGTAATACTTGGAGCTAATACTTTTAGCTTCCCTTGTTTAATAATTTTTTTTGATAGGAAACGGTAACTTTCATTAGAGAATTGAAAAGATTACAGGCTTACCACCCACAAAATGGATGGAAAAAAAGAAAAACAGAAGTYTACAAACAGGTCCAAAACAAAACCTCCCTAGTAACGCCTTGCTTAGCTAAAGTATCAGCCATTCCATTTGCTGACCTTCTTACCCATTTAAATTCCACCCCAATCTCCCTTGCTAAGCTAATAATCTCTCTTAGAGGCTGTCTAAGAGACCACACTCCCAGGTTTCCAGTTTGCATCCACCCTATTACCAGCTTGGAGTCTCCTTCCACTTCTAATTGCTTTATTCCCCATTGTTTCGCCAGTTTCAAATCTTGAAGCAAAGCCATTACTTCTGCCCTTACTGAATCTCCCACCCCAATTGGGCCCGAGTAAAGGGCCATGACTTTTCCTTCCTCATTTCTGTACAGACACCCAACTCCCAACTGAGGCAGTGGTACCCAACATTCTTGTACCACAGGGGAGGAAGGCGAGGATGCAGCTATAGCAMTCCAATTTCTAATTAAGTCAGCTGAGGAGAAGTCCTTGAAGAGATGATGCACTTTCAGCCAGTGCATAACCTTGATGGTGACAACCTCCACAAGTGCTTCCTTGGATTTTTCTTGCCCTAGGAAAATCCTATTGTTTTTCTCTTCCCAAATTGACCATGGGATGGCTGCTCTTGTTATTCTCCACATTACCTTGTCCCTTTTCCTTGGTTGTTAGAAGAAGCTAAAGTCAAAAAGGTTCAGCACACCCAAGGGGGGGGGGTTCCATTTGTAACCAAACAAAGAAGAGAACCAATCCCACAAATAATAAGCAAAAGGACAAGAAATCAAAAGATGAGTCGCTGTCTCACCATTTTTTAAGCAAAGGTAACAGACATGTGGGGAAAGGCTCCAGTCTGGCCTTTTTTTTTGAAGTACATCCATAGTATTGATCTTTTGAAGAGCCACTTCCCAGCAAAAAGCCCCAACCTTACGTTGCATAGGAGAATACCAGATTTCTTTAGTAGGAAAAGAGACAGACACAAAAGAAGACTGAACTAAGGCGTTGAAAAAAGATGAACAAGAGGAAGTCCCTGAAGAAGACTATTTCCAAATTCTATTATCTGGGTAGGAAAGATCTAGGAAAACTGAATTTAACACAGTGAATAACTCATCTGTAGAAGCTAATTCTGAATCCGTCAACCCTCTTCTCAAACCCAAATCCCAAGTCCCCTACACACGAAGTGAGGAGATTATTTTGAATTTATTTAGGGAAAGAGAATACATTACCGGGAATCTATCCTTAAGGGGGGTGTTCCCAAGCCAAAGGTCCTTCCAAAACAGAATTTTATTACCTGAGCACACATTAAATCTGATGAAAGGTTGAAGGGAAGGCAAGACTCCAGCAATTGCTTTCCAAGGGGAGAAATGAGAAGCCCTACGGTCGACGCCAACATCCCATCCATTAGCTGCCATCCCATGATTACATTTCACCACCAAGTGCCACAAACTGTCCTACGCCAAAGGAAATCTCCACAACCACTTTCCTAACAAAGCTACGTTTCTTAATATGATATTGCCAATGCCTAGACCCCCTGCTTCCTTTTTCTTAGAAACTACTTCCCACTTCACTAAATGGTCCTTTTTTGAGTCACCCGGTTCCCATAGAAAATCTCTCATGAGCTTTTCTAACTTATTGGCAACCTTGACAGGAAGCTTAAAGGTAGACAGAAAATACACTAGAAGGTTGGCCAGAGTGGACTTGATTAAAGTGATTCCCTTGTTTAATAATTTTAGCTTCATGTTGTTTATTTAATCAGATTCAACAATGTAAAACAAAATACTAATTAATGTTCCCAACAATGGTAACATGGGATCCATCTGCTGTAGAGACTATCTCTACTAGAATACGACTGATATGAAGTAAAAAGGGTGGGCATATTGGTCATATGTTCAGATGCTCCTGAGTCTATAATCCAGGGAGGTCCCTCCTTACCTGAGGTGGATGAATAATTTGCAATGGCATATGAACTACTTGTATGAGCAAGGGAAGTGGTGTGATTAGCCCTTGAACTCCCTACATTTTGCTATTTGCTTGAAGAACTAGAATCATTTGAATCCTTCTGACTTGTAAATTGCCCATACTTTTCTAATTTGACCTTGACTGCTGCTACTGCAATGGACTCCAAGTTAGCTGGAGTAAGAGGTCCTAATGAATCTCCAGTGATTGCCATATTGGCATTTCCTTTCTTATTTTTAGTATAAGATGTGGATAGAGCTTCTAGCAGGTGCCTCTAGGATGTTTGGGTTTCTTGTAATAGTTACTCACTAGGTCTTTTTTATATCCATTGGGCTTAGGTTTGATGTTGCTAACCATAACCGATTGGTCAATCACAGATTGTCTTATCATAACATTCCTCCTACTCTCCTCTCTAGTCTAGATACAAGGGCATATGCTTGAGAAAGAGTCATACTTTCTCTAGAAAGGATGTACTGTTTAGCAGCATCAAATTCAGGGTTTAGTCCATCCAAGAACTCAAAAACCCTATTCTTCTCTACTAACTTCTGATGGGTGACTACATCCTTAGTACTCTCCCAGACAATAATTTCTAAGTGGTCTATCTCATGCTAAAGAGTCTTCAAGCCAAAGAAATACACTACAACTGGCATGTCTCCTTGCCTTTTATTAATGACTTAGTTCTTCAACTGATAGGCTTTAGCTACATTTTGTTTCTATGAGGTCTTAGTTACTCCATCCCAAATCTACTTTGCAGTATTAGCCCACAAAAAACATTTTTCCATTATGTTGTAACATAGAATTACATAGCCAAGACATCACCATGTAATTCTCCTACACCTACCGAGAAGGATTTGTATCAAGTTTCTTCTCCTCTCTAGGAGGAAAGTTCATATTAACTTCTTTATGCAAGTCTCCTTGGAGGAAGACATTCTTCACATCAAGTTTATATAGTGTCTAAGACTTGTTTGCAACAATGGAAAGAYGCACTCCAGTGGAACTAATTTTAGCAACTAAAGTAAATCTAGTAGTGAATACCATAAGTCAAATATTTCCTGTAATTGTTTCCTTTGCTTACTAATCATGCCTTATATCTCTCTACTAAGCGAACTGGTTTATATTTGATAGTGTACACCCATTTTCATATCAAACATTTTCAAGGGGGCAATAAAAACATGATAAGATGAAGGTAGGGAATGATAGGGGGCATGTTTGGAGATAGGATCTTGAATAGAAGTGTACTTATCTTTCCCGACAGCAATAGGTAAGTCAAAATTAAAGGAAGTAGTAGAACTACTAGGGAGATCAAGACCATTAGTCTCAAAAAGTAAAATAGGAAGAGAACTGACAGGAGCGTTACCAGAATTCAAAGGAGAGAGTTGATGTGGTTGTTCCTCTGACATACCTTTCTTCTTTTTGTTGCACACCCTACGGAAGTCTTTGGTTGTTGTCTCTCCACCTACCATAGGATCAGTAGACACTTTGGAATAAAGTCCGAGGGATGAACAAGTATGATAGATGATATAGGCAGACTCTCTTCCATTGATTACTGCTTCTCCCCCTGAAGAGAGGCTTCCTAAGGACAAAAAAAAAAGGGGGTGGACTCAAAGAAGGAAACATCGATAGAGACAAATTTCCAATGAGAAGTAAGATGATGATATTTGTATCCTTTTTGAGTAGCAAGATATCCCGAAAAACACACTTATGAATATGAGGATCAAGTTTAGATTGAGAAGAAGATGGAACATGAAGGTAAAAAATACAACCAAATACCTTTAGTAGTATAGGGAACAAGGGACAATTTGGACAAAAGAGTTTAACGAGACACTTGAAACTAAGGGCTTGAGATGGGAGTTGATTAATAAGAAAGGAAGCAGTAAGAACTGCCTCAGACCAAATGACTTTTGGAACATTCATACCAAACATCAATGCACAAATAACTTCCTGGAGAAAACAATTTTTTCTCTCTACATCCCCATTTTGTTGAGATGTCCCAACACAAGTAGTTTGGTGTTCTATCCCATGTTCTGTAAAGGAAACCTGAAGTCCTGCAAACATATATTCACTACCATTGTCCAATCGAAGAACTTTAATGGTTCTTTCAAATTGTGTACACTTCATCTTTGATATTCATTAAGAAAACCCAAGTGCACTGAATAAAGTCATCAACAAAATTACAAAATAGCGGTGACCGATTATAGAGGTAATGGGGATAAGGCCCCAAACATCAGAATGAACAATATCAATAGGTATGGTGCTTTTAATATTACTCAAAGAGTATGCATTTTGACAATGTTTGGCAAGTTCACAAAACTTCATGTTGATACTTCAACTGATCAGACTTAAAGCGATGAGGAAACAACTATAAATAAGAAAAAGACACATGAACAAGACACCATTGCCAATGGACAAGTTGATCTGTAGGTTTACTGATAATACTAATCCTTTAGGTGATGGAGATGCAACAACACTGGCAGAGACCAAAAGATAAAGGCCATCAGATTCACAACCACTCCCAATCACTCTCTTTGAAGTCAGGTCCGGCGCAACACAAGAATGAGGGAAAAAGTGACACTACAGTTCAAAGATTTGGTAATACTACTATTGCAGTGTACCTCTTCCAATATTTCCATATCAGTAGCCTCTCCAACACCTCTGACTTTACTGCTAAGATTTTCCACAACCTCAATCCCTGAAGATGATGAAGTTGGTGCTCAATTCTAATATTTCTCTTCACTCACATGCATAAAGTCACTCTGATTATTTCTGCTGATCTTCTTCACTGTTTTTATGCAGAAGGAAATCACCAATTTCTTGATCTTTTGCATTCACCTTCTCCACCAATGATATTGAATCAATACTTTTACTTACTAGATCTTCCTTACCTCCTGTTCCTTGTAGTTATCCACACATCTACTGATCCGGTACCCATTTCTCATGCTTCCATTTATAGACCACCCTTTTAAACTGCCTTGTATTTATTTGCACACTCTCACTTACATCTCTTAAAATGACAAGTTATCTGCTCTCTTTTTTCCAGACAATCTTTTTCATTCCAAGAAAACGACCTGACTTGGAACTCCCCCCAGATGGATAAAAAATTACTGTAAATTGAGTCAAGCAGGTCTGAATTCTGCATTAAAAATCTCAATAGAATGACTGAACAGTGATTTAAAAGGCGYGCATTTTAGGGTAGGCACCTCACCTAGGGCCTAGTCTCAGCATATTCAAGAATTTCCTATTTGGTAATGTTGTCCATTCATTCATCCTAATAAAATATCTTCTTAAAAGCAATTAAAACTATAAAATTATTATTTTTTGTGTGAAAACTAAGAATTTAAGACCCTAACATGGCCTTGTTTGGGCTTGCCTCGAGGGGCGTGGCACAAAGGCGGCTCATAGAATTAGGAATGTAATATGTCACATTAGCT